CGTAAGGGCTCCATTAAAGGGCCCTTGGGCGTCCTGGTGTTTTCACTAGAGCTGGAGCCATGTGAGGGCCCCAGTTTTTCTGTGAGACTTCCCAGTCCCATGAACCCCAAGTCCCATAGAAAACATGCGATCGGACTTTGAACCCGAAGCCGTAATCTATGGACCCGAAACTCTCTGGGCTGGAGCTCCTAACCCCTAACTTTCCGCCACATGGACTTGAAACTCAGCCCTTCCGAGCCAAGATAACGTGCGACATCGGATATTGTATGTCATGTCGTACATTGCATCTGTTATAAATTCAATACAATACATTGTGTAGTACACAGTGCAGTATAGATAAGAATCTCAAATCTCTCAGACTCTCAGGCACCGACGACCTCACTGCCGCGGAGGTCGGGTGAAAAGCTTCGGGGTTAAACCCCGTTTCGGGTTTAGGGCTTCGGGGTTTAGGGTTTGAGGTTTTTGGGGTTTGGGGTTTATGGTGTCGGGGCTTAGGGCTCACGGCTATAGGGCTTTGCGTTTGGCGTTTACGTTCAAGGAGTCCTGTGAAGACTGGAGGGATCTGGGCGTCTCAACACAACACAATATGCTCCACAGCTGAAGTCCGGGACATCACTGTGACGGTCGAAAGTTGGAGATATCATTCTCTCCGATAGGGTTCGTTGGGTTCCTTAGTATCATATGTATCATGACTCATAATAATTACTCATTATACCATAGTTTACCCCAAAACCCTGTTCTCATCCTTGTAACAAATTCGGACTTCATTTCTTCGGGTTTAGATCCCCTGAGGCTCAGGAGCGATGTAGGATCTGGGACCATGGTGCCTTCATTTGTCTTTATTCGTGTTTACGTGTCGTACGATGTTTTTTGTTTTTTTTGACCTTGGCATCATGCTGTACTATCCCTTAAGGGATCTAGGAATAAGGTCTGTGATTTACCCGAATGATCTGACGTCTCCTTTACTCTGGCCCCAACAATATGTATAGTGCGTACATACTAGATATAAACGCACATTAGGGGGTCGAGGGTCAGGGTGTTCGGCCAACGACCCTCCCGTAAGCCCTATGTGAGGTCCTATATCTGGCATGGCCCCAGCACAGCTTGAGCAGGAAGTGGGCCGTGCGCTGCGTTCACTCGGCTCTTCCGCGGAGGCGACGAAGGGATGCAGCAAGATTTACATAGGGTTGCAAAATCGGGTTTTGGTGTACAAGCGCTGTAATGCTTGAGGGTTCAGGGCTGCCCTGAAGCCCTTACAGCAGCCTCTTGTAGTTACTGTTCTCAAACTGTATTGTAGTGACCTGCATATTAACCGTTAAGCATAACCCAAAGCTGGAATTCCTATCAGGTCCGCTGGCGTTCCCGCGCCGAAGTCCCGGCAAATCTGCGCAATGGCCACTGGCAGGTCCACCGAGACCGCGAAAAGCAAGAGAGCCTGTAAATCATAATTTCGTCTGAGGGTGTTAGACCGAAGGGGGTTACACCTATTCGGTGTTGGCATGGAGGTGATACAGACTGGTTTCGGATGTGGGTATGAAGAAGACTCAAAAGAAATGATTAATGTTATTTTCCTGAGAGTTCCTTATGATGAGTAACAGTATAGAAGATCCCAAGACCCTATTCTAATTCTTAGGGGTTTAGGGTCAAAGGGTTAGCTATGCTCTAACGGAGCCCACAACCCTGTCGTTCCTATCTAAGTATTCTCTAAAGTGAACCCAAAACTCTATACCTGTAGCCGCAAAGACATATCTTTTTCGGGTTCCTTATTATGGTTTCAATATCTGTTTACATATGTCTATATACATAGATATATATATATATATATATATATATATAGAGAAAGAGAGAGAGAGAGAGAGAGAGAGAGAGAGAGAGAGAGAGAGAGAGAGAGAGAGAGTGAGTGAATTCCTCAATCAAGGAGTCTGTTTTGGGCCACAGGTATCCTAAACCCTAAACCCTGAACCCCAAGCCCGTAAGCCCAAAACTCCAGTCTATGTCTTAAGGGCCTCTACATTAATCATAGGGATCCTTAGGGGTGTAGGGGACTATATTTCCTTAAATAGGCCTTATTAGTCCTTATTATGGGCCTTAAGGCCCCCTACCCCCCCTCCCCCTACACCCCTAAGGATCCCTATGAATTAGGCTCAACAGAGGTCCTCCACTTAGAGGTTTCTCCGAGACGGCCTCGGCGTGTTGGGGGGGCAGATGTTGGGTTCCTTTAAAGGGATCTACAGGGGTTACCAGGGATCTATTAGGGTTCCCTTTTTCAGGGATCTATGAGGGTTTCCTTTTAAAGGGGTCTATCAGGGTTCTACCAAAGGTTTGGGGTTAAAAGGTTAGGGTATGGGGTTTAAGTTTGGCGGGCTGGCAGGTCAACCTTGAAGAGCTCCGGCGAAGGAAGGGCGATTGACAGCTTTAGGAAGTGATCGGGCTTAGGGAGGCTTCACCGCTAACGCTTGAAGGCAGACAAAATTCAAGGCATGGACAGGGATAACTATTGTACAGATTCGCAGAATACTGTTTACTGTGATTCAGGTGCAGGCCCCCTTTGGATTCCAGGATAGCGCACGCTAAGCCCCTAAACCCCAAAGCCCAAGCCCCTGCACCAGGCAAACTACAACGCCCTGACAGCGAAGCAGAGGATCGAAATGACTCATGAGCTGCTTGGCAACGACCCACGGTTTAGGGTTTTAGGGTTTAGGGGTCACGACCCACGGTTTAGGGTTGTGGGTATAGGGTTTGGGTTTTAGGCTATGGTTCGGTTTCGCAGGGCTTGGTGTGGTCTTGCAGGAGTAGGCAGGCTTTGTTGAGGATCTTGGAGAGATTTAGGTCTGCTGTGGCAGATGGGTTCAGGGTTTAAGGTCAGGGGTTGAGGCATATGGGTGGTCGTCAAAATTAGGGTCCCTTTTTGGGGTACCCTAAATATTAGGTGCCGTACTATATTAGGGGCCCAAGAAGGGACCATAATTTTGACAACCGCCCATATGTTGACGTTATGCGGTTGCTGTATTGGACTCTGTTTGCATCAAGGTTTGCGTCAGGGTTTAAGACTTCAGTCGTTTGGTCGAGGCTTCAGATGTCCGCGTGCGCCCTCAAAACAGCTGCTTCAAGGTACTGCTCTGTTTTGGTTCTGGATAAGTTCCTGGGAACCTGAAGCAAACCATGGTAATTTCCGCGCATCTGCGACAAACTTTGCAAGCGCCGCGAGCAAGGTAAATACACTGCCGAGAATGCTAACCTGCTTTTCATACACGATCATAGCGGCAATCGCCCTGCAAGCATAGGTTCCTGGCGGATGTGGAGGTGCTGCGGTGCGCGGAGGTGTGCATTTGCACTTTCAGCAGCCGCTCGAGCCGCAACGAAGTTTACTGCCGGAAGCCATTATTGTAGGGTTTGAGCATCCAGTAAGCCCGAATCCAAGAGCTCTGAACGCAGTCAATCCTCAACCCGGAACCCGAAGTCTTGAAACCCAAATTCCCTACACCCGAAACCCTAAACCCCAAACCCTAGCTCTTAGACTCGAACGCCATATACACTCCACAACCTGAACCTGAAACTCAAGACCCCGCGAATCAGCTTAACAGGCTTGCACCACTATGAGCACTAGACCTGCTAAAGCCTGGTATCCAAAGCATTGGTTTGAGGTTGGGATTAAGGACTAGGGGGTTGAGGATCTATATCTTGAGGTTGTAGGTATAGAGCTTCTGAGGGGCTCAGGGTTTGTGCGTTGTGGTTCGTGGTTGGGAGTTTGTGAGAGAAGATCGCCTCAATAATTCCAAAGCCCTAACGTATTTCTTGACTTCAAGGCCCCTATAAAATGGACCTATTATTATTAGGACTTATATAGCCGGTGTCGAGGAGGTGTTTAAGGTCTAGAAATCTAGAAAATGTAGGTGTGTCTGAATATAGTTAGAATAGAGTTTCAGGGTACGCCAAATTTGGAGGCAACGTGGGTCGTCTCGTCGCCTTGCTTCGCGACCAGCGAACGGTGAGCTTGGACATCACGGAGTGGACGAACGATTAGCCGTGGGAAAAGGGAGGAGAGGGCTGGGTTGTCTCGTACTTCTTGTCTTGTACCTTACTATGCTATACAGTATAGCCTATGCTGTCTTGTAATGCAGTATAGCGTACTGTACTTTACAATGTGATACTTCAGAATACTATACTACACTGTACTATATCACGTATTCTACAATGTATCTGTGTACCCAGACGATTGACTTTGACAGAGAGCTCCCACTCGTGAAGCCGTATCTACCCTCGTCCGAAGTGGAGGGTTTAGGGTTTAGGGTCTGAGTTCGGTTTGGGGCTCAAAGCTACCGGAATCCTACAAATCCTACACATTTCTTGCAATGACTTCCTTTCAAGATATGCGCTCGCACAGGTAGGTTTTCTGGGATTCAGGTAGGGCTGACGAAATTCCTTGCAGAATTAGGTCTTTTTGACAGCCAAAGTTTCTCGCAGACTAAAAAGCACATGTGACTTTAATCCGCAGCCACTCTCTCCCTGATACTGAAGTCCCGTTACAATGATGCTACAATATACCCTTAAACCATCCGACACCAACAGCCTTCGCTAGCATAAGCTTTAGCATCTGTGGGTCCCTTACCGGCTGAAGGAATTCGCCTTCAACTTGAATGGACATGAATGTGGTGTGTTTACGACACATTCCTTAGGATTAAAGATTATTGGGATGTCAGAAAGTCTTGTATCTAGAAGACCGAGGCACAAATTTTCGTTGGCCTCCAAATGCTGCAGCCAGTAGGTCCTAAACCAGTGAGTGCTCTAATCCCGAAGCCATAACCTGCTAGGTCCAATCAAGAATCAAGGGCGTGGGGCTCTAACTCCCAATCCCCAACCCTCAGACTTTCTCAAGAGTTTAGGACCCAAAAAAAGCCCCTCAGACTTTGCCAAATGTCGCTGCAGTGTTTACAGTTCCAAGATCCTCGAATAGGGGGGGGTGGTTTCTTTAGATTTCAGTGTCCACAACTTTTGAGACCATGACGACGACGTCCTCTGCGATGCGACTCGGCCCGGTTTTTTTCGGCGGTTTGCAGTTTAGGGTTGAGGCATTTTTTCCATCTCTGAGCAGTGGAGGCAATGATCCTCTGAAACCCCTCAACCCTCACCCTCATTTGGTATCCTCTCCCCAAGTTACCGAGAACCACTGAAGCTTGTAGGTCACAGAAGTCCAGCAACACGGCATTCGCTGATACGTTATTTGCTGCCCAAATGCTAGGTGCGGCAACTCCTGCAGAAACGGAAGCGGCTCAGTAGCCAGTAAAAAGCTTCCCATCACCTCCTAACATTCTGTTCGAAAGTCATCGCTACTCTCAAAGATTCTTCTCAGGCATGGCTACTCAGTCAAAAAAACCCGGAAGCTTTGAAGCCTCAACCTTCCTCATGAAGCTCTTGAGCCCTAGATCCTGGCAAGAAGTATATGGGGTTTCCGATAATGGGGGACCCTAACCAAGTACCCCAAATAATAGGATCCTTATTGAAGGACCCCGAAAGAAGGCACCCCTAATTTTCGGAAACTCCCACATCTGCATCGGAGCCCTGACTCCCTAATGCTTGAACCGCTCAGCCATTCAAGCGCTACCTGCGAATGTCGTAGTCTTATCAATTAGTCGTCATATCCCCTTCTAGCGACCACTTAAACTGCAAAACACCCCTCAATGCTATCCTTACAGCGGAGCCTATAAAACCCATAGTTATCTAATACGAAACACAAACCCTGTCAAGCGCGATCCCAACTAAGGCTTCATATGTGAACCCTTACAAACCCCGAAGAACCTGTTGTTCTAATTTCTGTCTAATTTAAACATGAAGATGCCTAGATCACCTGGAGGCTCCATAATAGTTCCTTTTGGGGTTAATATGTAGAACACCATAAGGCAATCCCAAAAAGGAACTACCATGGAGCCTACGATCATAAACGAGACTGGAGCTCATTGAGCTACCGAGCCGATCAGCGCTGCGGTTCCTTTCTGCCCCAGGACTGCTGGCTTCAGGGATGTGGTTTAGGATTTCTATGGCGATCCAAGTTATATGTAGATGTAGGTCTGGTCTCATACGGAATTCTTCAAAACTAGGCTTGCCTTCGATGCTTCCTGAGCTCCAAAACTCACTCCCGAACCCTATATCCTAAACCCTAGGCCCTGAACTTTAAACCCTATAAACCTTAAAGCCTACACCGTTCACCCTAAATCCTAAAAGCCCTAAAGCCCTAAACCTTCCGAGGCCTTACTACGCCAGCCACATAGCGCGGCAAGAGCGAGCCCCCGGGCCCAGGATTAGTTGGGCCAGATCGGGGGCTATAGGGTTTAAGGCTTGAGGTTCAGGGCTTTTAGGGTTTAGGGCTTTAGGGGTTTAGAGTTGAGCTTTAGGGTTTATAGGGTTTAGAGGTTTAGGGTTTATAGGCGGGTTTAGGGATTTAGGGTTCACATGTCTTTAACCTCCTTTCGGTCTCTGCAGATCCGAGGCTCTGAGCCATCAGAGGGTCGATAGACTTGCGGACCCAATCTGTTTGATTAATGTGCCACTTCAGATACCACGAATCCCAAGCAAGATAATCTCGTACCCTTTTGCCTCTTGTAAACGCAGATAGAGTTACATGGTCATATGTGATATAGTATGGTTCCGTACAACGGAGGAAAGTCGTAACATGATATAATAGTGCTAGTGTCCTCAGCTGCCAAGGCAGTTGACATGGAGATCCCTGAAGTGGGCATCGATGCACGCCATTGTGTGCGGATGGTCGAGGTGACTCGGCCGTGAGGCATCAGAACATAAAGGGACCCAGGGAAGTAGGTTACATATAGGTCTAGAGTCCTAAACTATTGGGCTGTCCAATTTCCTGTCCCTGGTCTACCACGCCGAAGTTTGGCTAAGCTCGAAAGCCTGGAAGTATATTCTGCCATCGTGCTGGTGTTCCTGATGTAGACGTTAAAAGTCTAGAAATGGACTCCTAGAAGGGGATCGGGGGATCCCTCTTTTTCGGCAACCCTGCATAAACTATGTCATGTTGTGAAGGACTACCATCTACTGGACTTTTCCGAGCGCTTGAACACGAGCTCTTATGTGAACGTCGTCTTCGAGCCAGATTCTTGGATGCAAAAACGGAGATTGGCGGCTGAATGCCAGGGTTTGGGGTTTCGGGTTTGTGACATCCCATTTCGGATTGGCGTTCTTCGGCACACAGCGACGGACAGGATAGTCCTCTCGATGGCTGCGTAGATAGTAGATGAATGCTAAATGACACCCAACACATGAAACACGAAGCCCTACACCATGAGCCCCCTAAAATCCCTCTTTTGAAATCCACAACCCTGATTACACCTTAGACTGCAGTGCAGCATATGCATTGAATTGCACAGCTATTGGGACCTGAAGCCGCTGGAGTCTTTGCAAACCCAAGGACCTTTTAGTCATAAATTGCCCAAAGGCTGCTCGAGAAAAGTTCTTTCGGGGTGGTGGTATCTACGGCATCTACTGCTGGGGTACATATATTAATATATATATATATATATATACAATGATAATAATAGAGTAATAATAATAATAACTAATAATAATATGTACATATATAGATATTATATATGTACATATATACATATATGCATATATGTACACTCTTCAGACGCAAAGTCCTGGGCCCAAAACATTAAAAGTGCCTAAAACTTAAAGGCAGCCCTTAATGTCAACCTTCAAGAAACCCCTAAATCCTTGAGCCTACTATATAGGCACTCGGAACCCCCTGGGATACACCCTATACCGGAAACCCTTAAAGAAACCATTACAGGAATCCTGCAAGTACTTTTCGAGGAAGAGGAACGTGTGGCGCTGATGGGTCTGAAAGTGAACTTGGCCGACCAGACGGTCTATCCGGAGTCCTTCCGGATGTGCTTCGGCGGGTTTAAGGGTATACTTACCTTTGGTTAGTAGGGAATGGAAGAATGGTAGTAATAGTAGCCATAATTGTACCCCATTCCTCCATTCCCTACTAACCAAAGGTAAGTATAGGGTTGGTGATGCTGGATACTCTGTCGGGGGAAAGGGGTTTCTGTGCTTTTAGGATGTTTGAGGGCTCCGGTTTGTTTGTTCTATTTGCCACTCCTTGACACTGTGATGGTGGGAGTGAAGGCTGCATTCACCACGACCTTGGCCCCATCATCCTACGCCGGAGCTTTGGATTTGTACTTTCTACTTCTCGGGCTCTTTCTGCGCTTTAGATTCAGAAAGGTGTAGAAATATGGAGGACGCACCTCAAGTTCTAGAGACATGTTCGATTCTGAGGCTTAACATAAGGAAATCAAGGTCTGCAAGTCTTTCGGAAGTCGCAGTCAGGGATGTAGGCTCAGAGTGGAGCATTTGAGGATACCAGAGTTATCAGAGCATTTCAGGGCTGTTGGGGTCAACTTGAGGCTCCAAACTCGTGTTCTGCTCCTCGCATACCCGAACTCAAGACAGTAAGCCGCAGGTGTCCGTGGCATCAAGTGTGGCCAGGAGAAGGCCTAAACCCTAAAGCCTGAATCCGAAACCCGGCTTATCCTCATTCTCAAACCGTACATGGCTGAGGCACAACGACACCCTGAACATGAGACTTGGCAATGACCGGCACAGACTTGGGATGTAAGCGGGCTAGAAAGATGGCTTGTAGTAGAGTTAGAAGGAAAAGCAGTAGTAGTAGTCGTCGTCGTAGCAGTAGCAGTAGCAGTAGCAGTAGCAGTAGTAGTAGTAGTTGTTGTAGTAGTTGTAGTTGTAGTAGTAGTAGTAGTAGTAGTAGTAGTAGTAGTTGTTGTTGTTGTTGTTGTTGTTGTTGTAGCAGTGGCAGTAGCAGTAGCAGCAACCATGGCACGTCGTCGTCGTCGCCGTAGTAGCTACTATTTGGCTGGATAGTAGTCGCAGCAGCAGCAGGAGGCGGGAGTAGGAGTAGGAGTAAGAGTAGTAGTAGTAGTAGTAGTAGTAGTAGTAGTAGTAGTAGTAGTAGTAGTAGTAGTAGTAGTAGTAGTAGTAGTAGTAGTAGTAGGAGTAGTAGGAAGTAGTAGTAGTAGTAGTAGTAGTAGTAGTAGTAGTAGTAGTAGTAGTAGTAGTAGTAGTAAGAAGAATACGAACACGAGCCGATGCAAGGATCGCGAAGCTTTGGCACTGCCCCGTGCCGGATGACTTCGATTCCTACGGCTGTTACGCCGGCGCTGGAACTGTCGGCTCGACCGAGGCAAGCCGGTGTTGCGTTGGGCCTTAACAATTGGCGAAACTTATTTTATTCGGGGGGGGGGGGGGGGGGTGGTGGGTCCTTAAAGGGTACCTTAAAGGGCGCTATAAGGGTCTATAGTAGGGTTCTAGAATCTGGGGGCCTAAATAATTTCCAATTTCTATTTTGGGGTTCCTTAATTATGAAAATAGTAGGTCAAAAACCCAATTCTAAAGAATAAGGCCCCTATAGTATGTTTTGTTGAGATGTCTGGTTCTTGTCAGTTAAGGTTCAGTGTCCGGGCTTAGAGGCTAGTTAGGCGTCAACAGTTGGGGTGTATGGTTCAGGGCTTAGGATTTAGGACTCTGTGGGTTTCAGTGTCCAGGGTCAAGGACAACCCTAAACCCTAAACCCTAAGCCCTAAACCCTAAACCCTAAGCCCTAAACCCTAAACCCTAAGCCCTAAACCCTAAACCCTAAGCCCTAAACCCTAAACCCTAAGCCCTAAACCCTAAGCCCTAAACCCTAAACCCTAAGCCCTAAACCCTAAACCCTAAGCCCTAAACCCTAAGCCCTAAACCCCTTGGTGCCCTGACTCAAATCGCTGAAGCCTTGAGGCCCTAAGCCTCACACTCTTAGAGCCGGGCAGCCTCACCTTCAAAGCCTCATCTCCCCAGATGAGTAGTTTCAAAATTAGGGTCTGTTTTGGGGGTACCCTAAATAATAGGTGCCGTGTTATATTAAGGACCCAAAAAAGGACCATAATTTTGACAACCACCCAAACGCCTTCGCTGAAAAGGCTTGCCTTTTAGCGGGGCTGGCTTTGAAGTTCCGGTGGCGAAAGTGGTACGCAGCCGCCTCAGCCGCTGAACGCCCTCAACCCTAAACGAAAAATCCGTAGACCACAAGCCTTGGCGTTGTGATCACCAGTTGCAGTAGATTTTAGGGTTTAGGGTTCAGGGTTTAGGGTTTAGGGTTTAGGGCTCTATGTCCAAAGCCATGCCAGATGCCCAGACGAGCGGCAACAGCCTTGATGGAATGTCAGAACCACCCTTGATTCCACTATTTGAATGTGCCCGGTATACAACCCTAAACTACCGTACTGATATTATTGCGAAAGCCATCAAACTTGTGAGACTGACCGGTGATCCGTGCTACAGACAGGAGCTGAATATTGGGTTCCGTTTATTCACGGATGCTTACATCAGGCATTCTATCGTTCAGGGCAACTATTTTCTGTTCCATGTTGTCTAGACGTCACTGTCGCTCCGGCATTTTGATTATGTTTCCTGCCCCCGAAAACTAGCGCGACGATGACACCTAGTTTGCTGCCACTGCTGACCCAGCTATCATGCTATGACTACTAACATCTGTGCTGCCAACAGCCCACATATCCTTGTCGTGACTTCCCAGTAATTACCGTGGCAAAGCTTTCCCGGTAGCCCATCTCGGTGAGACTTCGTTTCAGGGTCTGTCCTTGCAGTCAGTCAAGGCAGAGAAGAAGGGCATGAAAGAGCACGAAGTGCGGGGCGTCTATCCCAACTTGGCTTCTCGGCTGCACATGCCCATACCTTAGGGTTTGGAGTGGCTGAGGCTTTGTTCCTCATGGAGTTTATAGCGTCGATAGTGTCTATTGAATATTGTTGTGTCAGCTCAGGGCATCTTAGGGCGGTCGGTGACAAGGACTGCATCGGGCAAATTAATCCCGTGGCGATAAGATCGATCCCAAACCCTGAGCCCTAAACACTCAGGAACAGAGCCGTCAACCAAGAAAGATTCAGCTGATCCTACGTACTTTATTACATTACTCTATAAACCCTCAACCCAAGACTGATCCTGCTTCACTGCAACAGCTTGGGCGTTATTCAACTACTCCAAGTCAAGCTCTGAGGTGCCCCGGCAATGTTCCGAGGAAACCTGCTCAGTTCCATGCTTACCCTGAGGGTCCATGTACCCAAATAGTATAGACTTTGGCCGCGAAGTACCTATGAAGGGAATACTTTGAGGCCAGCGTATATACTATGACAAGAGCAACATGAAAAGTGTTAGTAGCAATCATAGCCATGAGAATACGAAGGTAATTGTAATTCAACTGCACTACCATAACTTGAATCCCATGACGTTTACAGCCTCAAGCCCCGAAGCCATATGCTCGGCACCTTGTAATGAGTATAGTATACTATACTCCCAAGTCACGAGAAGCCCGGAAATGGAAGCCTGTAAAATGAATAGTATTCTGTCGGGGGCTCCTTCGTACAATGGTATCATGAACCCCTTGGTACTGAAAAGATCCTGAAAACATGTCTGCATATATCCATCGGCCCAAATGTCACGATGCCGCTAAGCATAAACACGAAAATGTGTATGTACACATGCACACTGATGTATATAGTGAATGCTCTTTATGTGTAGGTAACGGATAGATTGTCATGAACATATTTACATGCACACATACATAGGCACTCACAGAAACATATAACATGATATCAATATCTATCTATATATATACACACACTCTCTCTCTATATATATATATATACACTGTATACTGAATATATATATATATATAGCATAAGTAAAAATTTCACATCTATATATACATATGTAAACCGATACATATCTAGGTATCTGTCTTTCTAGCTGCAGACCTATCTGTCTATCGATCTATCTACCTACCCACCTATATACCTGTAAATACACACATACCGATCTATCTATCTGTCTATCTATGTGTATATATATGCATAAATACAGACGTGTGTCTACATGTATGTATGCATACATGCATGCATGTATTCGTGGGGGTATAACCGTATATGTACATATAACCGCAGGTACCAGTGTGTATATATATATATATATATATATGTATACCTACATATATATATATATATATATATGTATATATATATATATATAGATCGTAAGTGTGCGTGTGTGTGTGTGTGTGCTCAGACTTGTGATGTATCTGAGCACAACCTAAACTGTAGATATGCGCCGTCTGTTTCTCTAAACCGCCGTAAGCACATGTCAACTAAACCATGAACTATGGAATCTGATTCCTCTAACTTGGTGCACCAGATCTCTAAACTGTCAAACCCCTCAAGCCGTAAACACTGAGTGCCGAGGTGATCTCGACTATGTTCCAGGCTGCCTGGGAGAAACTGCTGCCATCTCAGCGATTCGAAGTTTCTGTTGCTTAGGTGGAAGGGAGGAATCTGCCCCGTACGTCTACCTCGAAAGTGACTCTCATACTATACTGACATAGCTCTCCCTACCGATAATTCTGTGCACAAAACGGTCATGGAAAGTCTAGTACGGTATAGTATAGTATAGTATAAGTATAGTCCCCAAGCGCGAAAATGTAAGTGCCCGAAAAGCCGCGGGCATTCACGGTAAACCCACCCTCAATCCCGAGGTTCAAGTACATGGACATCGAGCCGCGTTTCATTTCTCCCAGCTACAAGTCGCTTTGGCTGCTTTTGCGAGTAGGATTTACCTTCAACTACCATGACCCACTTCTTTGCAGGTTATTGTAAAAGACCCTAAGCCTAACCCCCAACCACCTTTCTCTTCGCTCCCCTGGTTCTCCAAACTAGTCTTATCAGAGTGTTTTCAGCAATCCCGGTAACAGCCACCTTGCCACCGGCCCTCGGAAACGGATGCTTAAAGCAGACTCCGGGTGATGTTTAAGGTTCGTGTTGCTTGGCATATTAAGCTTATCAACCTTTGCCAAAGCGACTACGGAATTTCAAACCGAACTACAATCCAAAGGGTCCGACTCTGAACACCGCTGTCGCTCAAGCCGGCCAAAGGCCAAGCACTCGAAATCCCGAACCAATAACCGCTACTAACCCTGTTCTTGCGACCCGAAACCGGCTCTCAGGACCTTTGTTCTGGATCCAAACAAGATTGGTGAACCGGAGCTGCACTGGCATGTTTCGGAGTGCGAAAGTCTGCAGAGATGATCGGATAATTAGGAGGGTCGCCTACAGCAAAGCCTACGTCCTGTACTTTGACAGATCTACAGATGTGGTGTTTTTCGGGGCTTTGGGCCAAGGACCCGGGTGGTTGATGCGAGCAGGTTCGGCGAGGATGATGGAATGATGTGGAGGAGGTGAATGAGGGCAGCCACGGCTCTAGAGAGACCCCCGGATCAAGCAAGTACCATAGGGGCATAAACAATTACCAATACTGTATTGGGGGTTCGTTAGTGCATTTATGGTAAAAATGTGCCCCAAAACCCTAGTCTAATGATCTAGGCCAAGGCCCCTATAGGACTGTAAAGCGTGAGGCAGAAGTCAATGTGAAATCCCGACCTCTTACGAAACAAACTGCCAGACCCTAAACCCCTAATCCCTAAACCCCTAAACCCTAAACCCTAAACCCCTGAACCCTAAGCCCTAAACCCCTGAACCCTAAACCCCTACAGGCCCGGACTGGAACCTCTGCGCACATCCACTGACTCCATGACAACTCCTTACGCTCGTAACAAAGACCTTTCTAGGGTAGCCGCTCTACCAGAAATGCTGTGGAACCCCATGAAGCCTAAACCCTAACAAACCCTACAAGCCCTAAAGTTTAGGGTTTAGGGTTTCTTCAAACCCCAGCCCTACAGATTCGGGTTTAGGGTTTCTCCAGTCCGGATGAAGAGCTCAGTTCCCACCAAGGATTACATTGACGATCAGACTATTGGTGTGGTTTGCATCATGGGCAACCACTACGGAGGCCAGCATCTTGGCGACAGCATCCATTGGTGATTGGTGATTTTGTGTGCAGATTCTGTTTGACGTAGGCGCTCGGGCTATGTTGCCCTTACGAAAACCGGGGTTCTTGAAACCCTACGTGAACCCTCAAGTCTGCAGCCTACCCTAGGGCTCTAAAGCATTTCCTTTTGGGGGTTCATATTTAGAATCCTATAAGGTAATCCCAAAAAGGAACTAGTAAGGAGCCTATGGGTAGAGCTTTACAGGGAAAGTGCCATCAAGAGCCTCTAGATTTTGAGAAATTCCGCTAGGAAGCGCCACGCCAGGTGTGTTGAAGAGAGGCTTGTGGATTTCAACTTCTGTTTCCTGTACACGCCTCTATGCGACTGTAGGACATCTTGCAGAATTTTCAGACACGCTGGGAATGAGACTCTTTTCACTCCGTTAGACAGTGTTTTGACACTGCAAGCACTGATACGACGTTTGCCATGTTTTCTGTGTCCTGCGTAGTGTCCTGTGAGCACCCCTTCTCCCCTGCCTTTAACTCAAAGCCAAAACTGCTTGAACATTAAGGCCTATCAGCCCTGAAGCGCGGTACTGTTGCATGTGTATATGTATATATAACGTTTTCTCTGATATGCCCGATATGCCCCAAAGCCCTACTCTAATCATTAAGTCCCTACCAAGCGAGACCTTGGCCAAGGTACGATCCTGTGTGGGATGCTTTGTGCCTAGCATATCTTCGACAGTTGCCTTGAGACTGTTTTGAGCAAGATTGCTTTAGGCTTGGGGAGGCTTAAGACTTCTGTGAAAGTTTTGACCGAGTGCGGTCCTGAGCCCTAACCCCTAAACCCTAAAGTCTATGAATTCAAGCAGCTGCCATCCATCGTAGGCAGCCTTCGAAGTTTACACCCGCGGTAGGAAAGTTGCAAGAGTTTCGTTTTTGAAAGTGAGGCTTGGAAAGGGTTGAGGGTTCAGGGCATCAGGTGCAGGTATGACAATAGCAATCTCAATGTCATCAATGTTGTGAAGACGAGGGTCTAGCTTCGGCCGTCCACGCCCAGAACCCGAAACCCAAATCTGACGGCGTTTTCAGTTTCGCAGTTGATACTTTTCTGGTTAGTGGTTTATGGCCGAGGTTTAGCAAGATACATATGTATAAGGTATATATATATATATACAATATATATATATATATATATATATATATATATATATATATATATATGCGCATATGCTCTGTGTGTGTGCTTGAGGCATGCCATGACTACCACGCAACAGTGAAGGGTGTTGCCAGAAGTTCTTCACCCTCGAATAACAGTCATCGAGTTGACATTACAGTTAGTATGCATCTGCTACGAATAGCCTCGTCATCCTAGCAACTTTGTTAAGCCTAGCCCAAAAGCGGCAAGGGTTGAAGACTGGGGCTTGACACTCTCGGTCGTCAAAGTTCGTTAAGGTTGAAGTTTCAAGGTCTGGGGCTCATCTTTTATCTATGGGATGTCAGGTATCGAAGTTGGCGTTGCGAACGCGTGCCGAGGTTGAACTGTCGAGACACCGCGTCCTGCGTGCAACTTCTACACCCTAAAACAAGAAGAGTGTAAAATCTACAAGTAGTAAGATATCCCATGCCCTAAATCCCCTACACTGAGATCAGCAAGAAGCTCGAGACGATCAACAAGGAGAAGGGCCTTGAGGTGGGCTGTCTGAGAGGGAGTGCCAGTCGCGAGCATAGAGCGGAGTAGCAGCTTGGGTGAAAGCTCAATTGACACCGGATTGGCCTAGCAGCCTTTGCACGGAGATGAAAGGCTGCGGGCGCAGTTTGGCATCTAAGTTCGTTCAAGAGGCCACTGCGGATGCGCAGTACTGTAGGTGCCTGTATGTCCTTTTGACAGTCTATGACATATGACGGCTCTGCAGCACTTGCAGGCTGATCAGGTAGAAGTCCTTGCAGGAACTCTTAAGCATGGCGGACTTCAAGTTGAAGGTGGATGAATCCAACAAGGCAACGGAGTTGCCCCTGCTCCGTGTTTGCGGCACTGTTCAGCAGAATCCTCACATCCGAGCGTTCTGGGGAAGTGTCTTCTCCTTCTTCCTTGCCTTCTTGGGTTGTTTCGCTCTTGCCCCATTGGGGCTGGAGGTGGCCACCAGCATCAACATGTGTGAGAACCAGAAGTTCCCACCCGCCGAGAATCCATTGCGGCCGGCCTATCTGAAGTACAAGAGTCTGAAGACAGGTCTGGATTACTGCCAGTATGGCAAGGTCAAGGATGGTGATGTCATCACGGACTGTGCAGCAGTTCCAGCTGCTGTCATGAGCAGTGCCACTGCGACTGCTGAAGAGAAGAGCCCATATGCGCCTTCAGTCCTAGCCAAATGTGTGTGCACCACGGGAACTGAGTGCAATGGCATGATCGCAAATGCAGGCGTTGCTGCTGTAGTCATTTGTGTGACACACGCTTAAAACTTCTTGGACCAGGAACCCTTGGTGCCGAGGAAGAAGCTGATGACTAAGGTCCCTGTTCGGCGCAGCTAAGGTTGCGCCGCCTTCCTGCTTGTCTTGCTCTCGTGCTTCGGCATGTGGGTGGGGTCATGGCATTGTCTACATCATCATCATTGCTGCTGTTGCTTCCACCATCTTCGTTCGTGTCGCTCTGGGCACCCTCCTGGAGCGCTTCGGTCCAGTGAATGTGCAAGCCAGCCTGCTCACTTTCGGAGCGCTCTGGGTGGCTATGGCAGCGGCCATTTCCGCTCCCTGGAATTATGCGCTGATTCGCTTCTTCATCGGTTGCGCAGGACCCATGTTTTTCCTAGCTATACTTTCCATCGTCTAGTTGACATCATTCAGCCCCCTGTGAAGGAGCCACTTTCGTGACCAACCAGTTCTGGTGTTCCTTGATGTTCGCGCCCAATGTGATTGGAACTGCGAACGCTACGGCCGCCGGATGGGGAAATCTGGGCGGAGGTGTATGCGACCAAGGCCGTTGAAGAAACCAAGGCCGCTCCCACCGAAGAAGTAGCGGTGTAAAAGTTTAACGAGGTACTCCTTGTGGCAACGAATGCCATGCCTATGTAGAGTTTTCTCACTCAAGTCGCTCGCGTGACTACTACGGTTTATCTGTCCATCTGGGCAGACTGCTCGCAGGTGTATAGTCAGTTCTGTCGAAGGACGACGTCTTGTTGACCGCATTGCAGCTTAGCGAGTCCTGGCGTGGAGTGCAGGGTCGCAAGCGCAGAGCGGACTAGTCGCTTGGGTCAAGCCCAAATGACACCGGACTGGCCGTAGCAGCCTTTGCACGGAGTGCGAGGTTGCGGGCACAGATTGGCATCTAAATTCGTGGAAAGCGTCGCCGCGGATGCGCAGGGTTGTAAACATCCTACGAATATACTGCTACTGCTACTGCTACTGCTACTGCTACTGCTACTGCTACTGCTACTGCTACTACTACTACTACTACTACTACTACTACTACTACTACTACTACCACTACCACTGCCACTGCCACTGCCACTGCCACTGCGACTGCACTGCCACTGCCACTGCCACCACTGCCACTGCCACCACTGCCACTGCCACTGCTGCTGCTGCTGCTGCTGCTACTGCTACTGCTACTGCTACTGCTACTGCTACTGCTACTGCTACTGCTACTGCTGCTACTACTACCACTACTACTACTACCACCACTACGACTACGGCTACTACTACTACTACTACTACTACTACTTCTACTACTAACTACTACTACTACTACTACTACTACTACTACTACAACTACTACGACTATTACTGCTACTACTGCTACTACTACTACTACTACTACTGCTCCTGCTGCTGCTGCTTCTTCTGCTACTACTACTACTACTACTACTACTACTACTACTACCACTACTACGACTACGACGTACGACTACGACTACGACTACTTCTACTGCTACTGTTACTTCTACTTCTAGCTCTACTTCCTATTACTGGTAGTGCTTCTACTACTAATGTGCTTTTCCTATCACCGCTAATACAACGACTAGTACTGCTGCTGCTGCTGCTGCTGCTACTACTACTACTACTACTACTACTACTAGTGCTCCTGCTGCTGCTGCTTCTTCTTCTGCTACTACTACTACTACTAGTACTACTATTACTACTACCACTACTACGACTACGACTACGACGTACTACTACAACTGCGACTACTTCTACTGCTACTGTTACTTCTACTTCTATCTCTACTTCCTATTACTGGTAGTGCTTCTACTACTAATGTGCTTTTCCTATCACCGCTAATACAACCACTAGTCACTAGTACTGCTGCTGCTGCTGCTACTACTACTACTACTACAACTATTGCTACTACTTCGACGACGATGACTACTACTACTACTACTACAACTACTACTACTTCTACTACCACTACTACCACCACTACGACTACGGCTACTACTACTACTACTACTGCTACTGCTCCTGCTGCTGCTGCTTCTTCTGCTGCTACCCCTACTACTACTACTACTACTACTACTTTTACTACGACTACTACTACTACTACTACTAGTACCACTACTACGACTACGACTACGACTACGACGTACTACTACGACTACGACTACTTCTACTGCTACTGTTACTTCTATTTCTATCTCTACTTCCTATTACTGGTAGTGCTTCTACTACTAATGTGCTTTTCCCATCACCGCTTATACAACCACTAGTACTGCTGCTGCTGCTGCTACTACTACTACTACTACAACCATTGCTACTACTTCGACGACGATGACTACTACTACTACTACCACTACTACTACAACAACAACTACTACTACTACTACTTCTACTACTACTACTACTACTACTACTACTGCTATACTCCTGCGACTACTTCCACTACGACTACGCTAGTCGTTTGGAGCCAACATGGGGTCCAACACGGCAGTTTTGATTAGAATGTAAGCCCGGTAGCTCCGGAGAAGTATGGCAGTACGGCATACAGCCGTGTAAGACCGTTTATAGAGCCCGTCAGGGCTTGCTTCGTTAGCCCTATAGTCCAGTCCACCAAGCCCAAATCCTACAGAAAGCCCTCATGCATGAAACCCAAGGATTCAACACCCTCCACCCTAAACCCGAGAGGTGGGCATCCACGTGGACGCCGCCTCAGGTGGATTTATCGCCCCTTTCCAGGTGCGGAGATAGGGTTCGGGTCCAGGGGAGTAATTATCTACCGACGGTGCGACCGCACCCATCCATATTATCCATCCGTCCATCCATCCATGCATGCACGCGTGCACACGTACATACATACATGCGTATGTACGTACGTACATGCAAATATACGCATACGTACGTACATACATACATGCATACATGATACATCTGTACGCTTATACATACATACATACATACATACATATATACATACATGTAGGCATCATACATACCAAAGTTCATACATACATGCATACATACCTACATACCGACATACATACTGACGTATATACATACATGCATGCATACTGGCTTGCACATCACTTACATCCCTGCACACGTATGTGCGCAGGTGACGCGCGTATGTATATATGTCTGTCTGTCTGTCTGTCTGTCTGTCTGTCTGTTTGTCTGTATGTCTGTCTGTCTGTCTGTCTGTCTGTCTGTCTGTCTGTCTGTCTGTCTGTCTGTCTGTCTGTCTGTATGTATGTATGTATGTATGTATATATATATGTATATATATATATACGCATGTATGTATGTATCTATGTATCTATGTCTGCATGCATGCCTGCATGCTTGCGCATGAGAATGCGTGTATTTGTGCACGTGTGAGATGTGTCTGCCTGTGTGTGTATGTTTATATGTTCAGATGTGCTTGTGTGCCATGCGTATATACATGTGTACATGGAGATGTAGATATGACATAGATATGCTTACCTACAACACTGTATTTGCTCACGGTGTACGTGCATTCCGGCAGATATGTCGGCATGGGTGTAGAAGCCTCTTTTGCAGGAAGGCCTTCCACCGTGGGACTTCCGGCTGCCAAACGTTTTGCGGCTGGGCATCGATGGGACATCATGGGACATTCGCTTCAGGGTTTCATGAACTGGTCTGAACAATCAGTAATAGTGTTCTCCTAGTGTCTCTGTGCGTAAAAGTTGGTCCGGGTTCAAAACATACCTTTGCCAAAAAAATTCCAACTACTAAAGGTCAAAGGCAACTCCACTGGGATGTCGTCATTCGCTCTGCGGTTTTGGGGTTCAGGGTTTGGGGTTTAGGGTGTGAGCATTTGTGGCCAAAGAGCTTGTGCATTTCTCATGAGGGCGTGCCCAGCGGGCAACGAAATTTACTTTGTCACCATGTAGCGAAATGGAAAACATTGAAGCAACATCGCACCCTTCCGAGCAAACACCACAATCTAGAGGATGCCACCTCCAACAAGTCCCGGAGAGATCACAAAATAGGGGGCCGCCTAATAGAACACAGTGCCGCTTTAAATTGAAAACCTTTTCAAAGACGTCGGACGAATCACTGGTTGAATACCAAACCCTCTTCTGTTCTGTGCTCAAAACCCTAAACCCTAAACCCTAAACGGCTCCTGGCAGTCAGCGAGGTCGATCTCCGCCAGCGGCCACAAGTTTGGGAATTCTTGCTGCGGCACAGGCCTCCTTTGCGAGCCGATTCTGCGCCCTGGGCCCTGGAAGCCGGAGTAAGAGCTATGGCCTCCGGCTCCGGTGGAGTCATGGTATAGTAAACTTTCATATAGGTCCTGTTTTGGCGTGTCAATCCCCCTTACAGTAACAGATCTTTGGGTAATTATGCAAAATACTGGACAAAATTCCAGGCTGAGAGCATCTCTAGCTAAGATCTAGCTCGCAGTGGGACCCGTAGGACTAGACTCCAGCCGCCCCTGACTCAACTCTTGAGACTGTTCCGCACGAAATGAGCAGAAACCCGCAACCCTTATGTTCGTGCAATGCCCAAACCTGGTGCAGAGTCTGGCACTTTACACGGGTGAGCTTGAATCTGTTTTTGGGCAGTCTCTTTTGGGATCCATTCAGGCTTAATTTTTCGGGTCCCGAACAATTGAAACTCTCAAGCAAGCCCATGAATGTTTTTTTGGGTTGGATGGTAAGTAAGTTCGAGGTGAGGGAACGGCGTTTCACCCTGACATTGGGTATCCCTGCACAATCGACCCAACACATGAAACCACTCATGAAATCTTCTACTCAAAAACAAGGACATGCCAAGCACTTGCATTCTGAATTTGATATGGTAAGCCTGGTAAGCAAGACACCTAACCCGCGGGGAAGTGGGCGTACAGCCTTGAACCATTGAACCTCATGGAGGGGTTGGACTGTCTTACTTTTGCTCAGTGTGGCAATTTGGCGGATGATTCCTGCCCTGTGGTCCGATGCCCGCTTAGTGTTCATTGCGAAAGAAGACGGCGGCGCGAGGCCGCTGACGACTATGCCAGGGGCCTATCGCATGTGGTCTGCTGGGGCTGCCAGGCTTCTGACCACCTGGAGCATGTGGTTCCCCTCTCATTTGGTCGGAGGGCGCCCAACCTGCGGTCGACACCGGCAATGAAGTGGCCAAGACTCGCGGCTGCTCGTGAGGATGTGCATGGAGGCAGCGTCATGTCGTTCGCGACTTGGACCGCGAGCTCCGGAGATGGCCACTCTCCTGACGGGTGTACCGGGGCTACTGGTAGCATCCACGCTGACGGTCGGAATGCCTCAGGGTGACCCCTTGGCTCCTGGGCGCTTGTCATGGGAACTTGGATCTGCCATCTTCCCATGCGCGACCCTGCACGTTGTGACACAACCTGGACCGGAAACGATGAAAATTACTACGGTATTCCCCACATCTCCGATCCCTAGACCATCAGCGCTGAACTCTAAGTCTAAGCCCATGCATGTTCCAGTGCCCTAAAGTCTGCAGCAACAATTCTGATCCGGGCCTGCATAACTAGCAGTACTTTTTCAGGGTGTTTGCATAAAATCAAGCATATTTAAAATATAGCCCAAACATTGTTCTAAAGCCTTTAAGCAGTATTAAAAACCAACAAAACCAAACCACTCAATTACTGCATGAAAGATGTAGATCCTCACTTCGGTCATCTAATCCGAAAAGCCGAAGATCCTGTCCGACAACCCCAAAGATGTCCAGCCCTGAAGCCCTGAAACCTAAGACCTACAGCCCTGGTGAGGCTGGGTGGTCTGGCGCCAGCGCAAGGGCCTCTCTGAAAACGTCGCCATCAACGTGTCCTACTTGGGAGGAAGCGGCGGCCCTAGCGGCGGATTGTGGATGTCTGTGTCGAGAGACGTGCGTGCGCACCTGCTCGTCGCCCTTCGACCACAGGCGAAAAAGATGAACGGTGATCATGATGATGATGATGATGCTGATACGGATGATGACCTTGACATGGCATTGTTGATGTTGATGGCGAAGTTGAAGATACGTACGAATATGAAGATGAATATTGACGAATAATGTCCATAACATACATCGCCTTATAAGACTTGTCATCATAGTCAGGAGGAGGAGGACGAGGAGGAGGAGGAGGAGGAGGGGGATGGGGATGGGGATGATGGCGACGGTCGTCATGTTGACGATGACGACGACGACGATGAATCTTGATGGCGATAATGAACATAGACGGCAGTGATAATGAAAACACTAATGAAGACAATAATATTGATACATCAGAAGAAAATCTCAATCTGGCAGGACATGTCGGGCTCCTTAGACCCCTGCAAACGAGAGAAACGCAGCCAAACAAGTTTGGTCTTTCACAGCTTCGGAATCTGTCACGGCAGCTTCGGGGTTATATAAGTGCAGGAGAAGTGCATCTAGGATTGAGGGTGCAATTCGGGTCAGCCTTGCAGCTTGTAATAAGCTTCACCTAAACCCTAACACCCTAGTAGTGGTTCGGATTATACGATGGCAGGATCCCTGTTTGCAAGCACAACCCAGCAAAACAACAGGACACAACAGCAGGGTACCACCCACACCCCTTGATAGCCACAAAAAGAAGCCGTATATAAACACATGATTTCTGGGTCTCCACTTCCCCGAACCCTAAACCCTATAAAGCCTAAGCCCTCACCTGGCTTCCACCAGCCAATCGGGATTCAAGAAGGGTTTTCTGTAGTGGATTCTATAAGGGCTCCAACCCGAAACCCTACACTGCAAACCCTGTCCCCAACTAATATTAATCCTAATCCTAATATTAATACTATTATACTATTGATATGAATACTTTCGTTTATAATGCTCCTAGGGACTTCTGCTAGCAAGGCGCCGATTCCTACACCCTGAACTTCTCTCGACCGGCCCAGGCGGATGTCTTGGTGGTTAGTGGTTTTAATGTCTAGGGTAAGAAGGCCACTACAAGGGCATGAAGTTTACGGTCTCGGCGTTTTGGGCTTCAGGGTGCTTTTTTTGGGGATTAGGGTTGAGGGAGGACGATAGGTTTTCTGCAAGCGCTCGCGTAAGGGCTACTATAAGGGTCTTTTTTTGGACAAGCTAGGGAGTGAAGGGAGGTCGAGTAGTGCTTTAGGGTTGGGCGTGAGCACAAGGTTTCAGGATAAGGGTTCGGTTGCAATGGGTGTGGTGAGATCGGGTTTGGGGACTGTGGTTGCCCCCTACACCCGACATCTTAAACCGTACGAATCAGTGCGTGTTTGCTGGGGATGCCAATTCGGAGGTCAGTTCGTCGATTTTTGACTGGTGCGAGCACTAGAACAGCTGCAGCTGCAGTAGAGCAGTACTAGCAGTAGCAGCAGTAGTAAAGGGCAGCAGCGGCATCGGCAGCAACATCACGAGCAGCAGCAGCAGCTTTCGGAGAAGCAGCAGTGTAGCAGTAGTCGTCGTCGCCGTCCCAGTCCTTGTCCCAGTCTTATTCCTGGCGGTCGTAAATAGAAGAAGAAGTAGTAGGAGGAGGAGGAGGAGAGGAGTAGGAGGAACAGTAGCAGTGCGAGTAGTAGCAGGAGCAGTAGCATTAGCCGCAGCAGTAGCAGTAGTATTGGGAGCGCGTATTGGAGCGGGAACGGGAGTAGTAGCACGTGGGAGTATCAGGATCAGTCGTGGTAGTAGTTGTAGTGGTAATGCTGGTGGTCGTCCTCGCACTCGTTGTCGTGCTAGCTAGCGGTAGTCTTGGACGTACACCGAAACCAAAGCTCCTGCTGAAATCACAGGGCATCTACGTCCAGTTCTACAAATTGCTGAGGCTTGGGAAGGAAGGCTACCAGGAGCAGGTGCACAGTATCAGGATCAGTCGTGGTAGTAGTTGTAGTGGTAATGCTGGTGGTCGTCCTCGCACTCGTTGTCGTGCTAGCTAGCGGTAGTCTTGGACGTACACCGAAACCAAAGCTCCTGCTGAAATCACAGGGCATCTACGTCCAGTTCTACAAATTGCTGAGGCTTGGGAAGGAAGGCTACCAGGAGCAGGTGCACAGTATCAGGATCAGTCGTGGTAGTAGTTGTAGTGGTAATGCTGGTGGTCGTCCTCGCACTCGTTGTCGTGCTAGCTAGCGGTAGTCTTGGACGTACACCGAAACCAAAGCTCCTGCTGAAATCACAGGGCATCTACGTCCAGTTCTACAAATTGCTGAGGCTTGGGAAGGAAGGCTACCAGGAGCAGGTGCACCGATCCGACATGACGGGGATTGGGGTTATACAGGTTACCATGAAACCCGATATAAGCGTTCCAGTGCAACGATTTCAATTTCGGGTTTATGACTTTTGGGTTTAGGGCTTTCGGATTCCAGGTTGAGACAGCAGTTCGGGTTGAACTGCCGCAGAGAAGAGACTGCTACGTGGTGACAGAAATCTCCTCCGGAACTGTGCGTGTCAGGGACCAAGTATATCAAGAGACTTCAACAACAAGGAGGCCTCCAAGGCAAGACTACAGAGCCAACAGAGGCAAGAGAAGTCCCATGCTGAAACCCGCTTTCCTGTTAATCTTGAAGACCGATCCCTGTAAGCCTTAGACCTTGCCTTAAGCCCCAGAGCCCAAAAAACTTAAACTCCTAAACCTGCAACTTCTAAACCCCTAAAGCCGCACAGTCCTAGGCCTGAAAACAAGCCCAATCTAAGTTCCTGAGTAGT